GAATTCCCCAGCCAGCCATGGAATTCTGGGAGTTGAAGTCCACACAACTTAAAGTGGCCAAGGGTGAGAAATGCAGGTATAGGGTATAATATCAGAATCTCAGTATAGTATAGGGTATAATAGCAGAATCTTGAAAGCCTGCCAGAGTTTCCCTCTGCCTCCTTTTATGCCAAACAGAATCAAGGCGGGGCTATTCTGAGTCTCTTTCTCATACTCCCTCCCTTCCCAGGGCTGAGTTGCTCTTTGCTTTTTCCTTTATTATCTCTGAATGGTTCTGCTAGCAGATCTTGCATTCCTTCACCGACGCTCTCTGTATTCCTCTATGCCCAGCTATTTGCTAAGTTTAGGGTATGGGGCAACCCCCCCACCCCCCCAATAAGTAAATTCAGTTGTGTGTATCCAGCCATCATCTTTCCACTTCTGAAAGTGGCTGAATATAACAATGACATCATAAAAGGATCAGGGCTGGATGTTTTACCTTCTATTTTCTGTTCTTGGTGTAGCCTAGCTTTTTTTGGGTTTGTTTGACGACTTAAGTAGCAGCTTAAGACCCCTATTTTTTAATTTATTTTCAACCAAAAAGAAGGAAACCTATGACCCCAACTCAGTGATTTGCTTCTGCGTATTAGTAAGGCCACGTTGGGGGTTCTGGGGGTCACTGAAAAGAGGCTGGGAGGTTTACCACATGGCTTGGGGCTGCAGGTTTTCCATCCCTGGCTAAACCACCTTTTCATTCATTCCTCACCTAGGCTCTCAAACGTTCTCCCCACTTCTCTCCTTCGTAACTGTCTCAAAATAGTCTTAGAAGCTGTGCAGAGTCTTCCTACCTCTTGGAGCTGGTGGAGCCACTCGGGATGGTGGTGGGTGCTTGAGATAATTCCCTCTGCTTTGTTGGATTCCTTTCCTGGTTGGCTCTGTCGGATGAGAAACACATGATGAAAGAAAGTTGGGCGGAAGTTCTCAGATGGCATTTTTTACCTTTAAATGCCTCAAACAAATACTGTATCTGCAGAAGCTCAGTGTTCTCTATGGGCAACCTGTGATGTGAGACCATCAGTGAAAGAAGTTTTTCAAGTACTTTAGGCATATCTATAAAGCCCCTGACAGCCAGTTTGGTTAGTGGTGAAGGCATCAGTCTAGAAACTGGGAGACTGGGAGTTCTAGTCCTGCCTAGGCACAAAGCCAGCTGGGTGACCTTGGGCCAGTCACTCTCTCTCAGCCCTAGGAAGGAGGCAAGGGCAAACCACTTCCAAAAAGCCTTGCCAAGGAAACTGCAGGGACTTGTCCAGGCAATCTCCAAGAATGGATTTAAATGGATTTAAATAAATGAATAAATTAAGCCCTACATCAGCATAGGGCTAGACCATTTGTGGGTCAGCCTATCTGCAAGTATTTCTGCTCACAGCAGGACTAACAAGGAGAGCATGCTCCAGGTCCCCTTCATTATACAATCTCACCTTTTTGGATCCAGGAATGGCACTGTCTCTGCTGCAATGGTTGCCCTGTGGAACAGCATCCCTTTGGATGGCCCCAACCTTGCAAGCCTTTCGCAAGGCACTCAAAACCTGGATATTCCCCTAGGTGTTTGGGCTGGGAGGTTGAGCGAGCGTTGCTGGTTGATTAGTTTTATGATTGTCTTTTTTTTCATTTGTAAGTTGGGAGATATATATATAAAAATTAAGCAAGCACAACTGAGTTTTGGCTCATCAACATGTTCAAAAAGGGCAGTCAGATCAATATGAATTCAGCTTTGCTAACTTCTCTCCCACCCCTAGTTATATATATATAATATATATATTCATATTCATATTCATTCATTCATTCATTCATTCATTCATTCATTCATTCATTCA